CTTTATCACCTACTGTCCAATGTTTTGAAAACTATTATTTTTCATATATTTTTGTCCTTTTGTTGTTGTTCCCTCTACCTTTTCCTTAATGATCACCTAGTCAAAACATATATGTCTTCGTTTATATAACCAATCTTCCACAATGACCATAAAGATAGTTTCTAATTTTTTGCTATTTTACATAGTGATACAACCAACATCATTATACATGTAACTTCTCTTCCACTGCATGACAAGTGTGCAGACATACATCAATAGAAGGTGCTGATGGAAGAAAAACCAAATACAGATATTCTTTAGGTAAATTAAAGAGGGTTTCACCCTGATGGTCATTTTTCTTTCCAGGACCTGCTGTTTCTCCGGTTCACCCTCCTTTGGGAACTCCAATTGATTAGGCAGGTCTGTGCCTGTAAATCAAACTGTGAATTGTTTCAAGTTATTTTTGTGTTTAGGACTGCTGGGCCATTGTAAGTTAAGAGGCGAGGTTAAGTAACTGTTTCAATGTCCCTGCACTATCCATGATAGTTAAGAAGTGCTCTGAACCTAGTATAACAAAGAGGGGGCTGTTCTGCCCGAGGTACATAGGAATTCTCTTGGGGCCTCATTTTCTCACCCTCTGCTTGTCGGCTGTGTTGATGAATGTCAACAGTTGGCTCCAACTGAGAGAGCCAACCCCAGTTACCCCATTGGGTAACTCAAATAGGTTTTACATACCTAGGGGATCCAGAAGGAAACAAGCAGAGACAGGAGACAACACATCGATCTGCAACGCTCTTTGGGATAAAGTGAAGTGCTAGCTTCAGAACCTAAAAACACAACAAAACAAAATCTCACCATAGGTGTGTGCGTTGGTGGTAGTGGATTGTAGGTGGAAACACTTAGGTAAGCCTGGGTCACATCAGGCCTTCAGGAAGCTGAACTGTCCCTCCTAAGCCCAGCTTTCCATGTGTATATGTCAGCCTGGATATGTGCTGGGTCAGTGACCCTCATCAAACCTGGGGTGACACAATATACAATAGTACTATGGGGCACCATTCAAGTACTGTCAGCATAAATAGTCTTCGTTCATCACCCTTCCTGGCCTCAGGTAAATCCAGCCTGGTCCAAAACGTTTCTGAACTCAGAAATGGGGACCAAGAACAAGGCTCAGTGTCCTGGAGTCTCTGGGTCATCCAACAGACCCTTAGACAAGATTGTTGACGAAAAACATCCAGCCTTATAAGAGTTTATTTGAGCCAACCTGTTGACAATTGCTGGAAAGCAAAATCTCAACAGATTGAGAAAATGCTCTGCAAAATGGCGGTTGCAGCTTATTTTACACATAAAATCAAAGGAGGAAGGTTACATGAAATCCATTGGTGACAGATTAAAGGGGTGGGAGAGAGCAAAGCAGGGAAACCCCTGGGATTGGATAAAAGTAAATTGGAGAGACAGGTACTTCCTTTACATAGGTGGGTGCAGGATAGCTAACAGTTAGCTTTTTACAGCACATAGAGATGGTAATCAGGAGACAAGCATAATAATGAGGAATTTTGCAGTTTTCAGCTCTGGTATGGAAAAAGGATTAAAGCGATTGTCTTAGGTACAGAAAAGCAGACAGGCCCACTGAAAAGGCACAGACTAACTTTATGAAGGACGCTAAAGATGTGACTTCCCACCATGGCCCACTTGGTTATGAAAGTTTTTATGCTCACGCCGTCTTGTGTGGCTATTTTCAATCTCCTGAGCTTGTCAGGTTTAACCTGTGGCCCCTTTTCCGTCCACAAAATGAATGACATACCTGCAGGGTCAAAGCCTAGAATCATCTTTCATTATCCATACTCAGGAAATGCCTTTCATGGCTTTTGCCCATTTCCATAGCCACTGCTACCACCTGCCCCAAGACCGTGTCATACTAAACCTCAGAATTGGCCTTGGAAGTGCCCTTCTTGGTCCCTGGTTCTCTATACACTTCTCACATATGTGGATCGCATTACAGACATATCGGGGAGTGCCCGTTTAGACCTTTGTGATTTCACTCGTGTTATAACCTGAACTAGAAAACATCAATTTATTACTGACCTCTAGGTGGCACCCTATCACAAATTATACTATATTTAGGGGAGGACTGTTAAAACAGCTTCCTTTGTTTGAGCACGTTTTCTCTAACCAGGAAAATGCCAGTCTCATGTGTCCCCTCCTCAGTCCAGCTGGTCTAATCTCAGAACTTTGCCAACTGGGAGTATGCCTTCCACCTTGCCCTTTCATTTACCAACAGGGAGGAAGGAAGAACAATAGATCCACAGATCCTTTTCCTTAGACGGTGCTAGGAGGCCAAGGCCACGCTATTTATAGCAAGTAATGCAAGTGGAAATAAATCAAGATATCATCTCCTGTGGGTAACTTTGATTATTCTAGCTCTTTGCTATTGTTGAATGTCCAGTGGTGATTGTAGCCGTATTTCATAAACTCCGCATACAGCTGGATCTTGCTTGATTGCAGCAAACGCTGGGAAATCTGACTCAACTCTTCCTGTATCTTGTCCCAGTGTGCTTGCAAATTGATGAGGCTTGCTCTGTGATTTCCTGTCATGTCATTTGCTTTATTTCATGTCCTTGCTGTGCTTGATGCAAAGCATTGTCAGCCTGCAGTGTGTGTCAAAGCCTCTGTTTGGACTGTACACTGGCCACTCTGAGTATTATAAGATGCAGAGAATTTTAAAGTAGGGAAAGTAAAGGGGGGATTGACAGGTTAGTTAGTGAGACATAGCTGCCCTGCTAACTAATGCGGGAATTCCCCACTGGTTTGCATTCAGTGTAATTCTTGAGAAAAAGCAGAAAGTGAGAAACCAGCAAGGCATGAAAAGATACTTCGTGTTAAACCTACTTTGGATGGGTGGGATTAAAAACAATTCTTGCGGGCCGGCCCAGTGGCGCATTGGTTAAGAGCTGGCTTGGGACGCCAGAGGGCCCCGGTTCGGATCCCACATATGAGGGCCAGTGATACTGCCCTCTACAGCTAAGATGCTGAACAACAGCTCAACTTGGAGTTGGGCTGCCGCGAGTCGCTGGCGACGGCGTAGGCTGCAACCCCTGCTGCAACCCCTGTTGCCATGAGCTACCGTGTGTAGCCAGCAGCTGCAGTGAGTGGCCAGCCAGCCGGGGACTGATCTGCCTCACCTGGGAAGAGCGCAATGATGGTGCCAACTTGGGCCAGTGAAGAACGTCCTCCACAAGTAGACTGAAGAACAAAAGGACAGCAACTTGTCTGTTCCCCTTCCCCCAATTTCCCAGCGCTGTTCCAATTCCCCAATAAAAACAAAAACAAAAACACAAAACTTAAAAAAAAAACCACAATTCTTGCTTTCTGATCACAAACCTCAGGTTTATCTGTGTTTAGTCATTTGTTCACACAGTGCAGAAACAACATAAAGCTCTGGCTTTATTCTGAGTTTGGCAAATAAAATGGCAGTGACTGAGGTTAGCTATGTGAAGTCACCAGGCAAACTAGACTGTCACCTGGACCCAGGGTAAGAAGGAGGCTGGCCAATTGAGGATATTAGGAAATGAAAAGCAACAGGACAGTGGGAGAAGTCGTAGTCCCGGCATATAGTGACGAAAGGAGGCTATGAGAGGTAAAGATCTGAAGCACAGGTCCAGCCACGTCCTAGACAAGCAAGTGTCCTAAGCTTCATACGTGATTGCCCTTCTCTGTGGCAAATACATTATAATGACTGCGATTTTCACCTAGGCCTCCTTCTCTTTATCTGTGAAATGAGGGTCAACTAGACAATGTAGGGGGAAATAGGAAAGATATGGAAATGGAGCAAAATGGTTACTGGGTGTCTTCAATGGAAAAATAGGCAGACATTATCTAAACATACTCACACACTTCTGGGTTATCTAATTCTATGGCGTATCTGTGCCTTTCGTTGTTTTTGAGCTCTTTTTTTCAGTCTATAAATTGTAGATAACTAATAGCAATGACAATGATTCTTGTCCATATACATGTAAATGCATTTTGATATGTGGAAATGCAATTGAATTCCCTCTCTCCCTGTGTTTTTCCAGTTTCGTCATGTGCCATGTGGGTCCATTTGGGGCTCTCTGTTGACAGAATTAGCTCTGGCTTAGTATATTGTGGTGGTCTCATCTAAGGCCACATTGCAAGAAATGATGGTGGAGTGAGATTTGGGGTGGGCAGCCTTGAGAGAAAATGCACATATGAGAGAAGAAATTCTGTAGGAGATCTTCACAAATCTGGAATGAATCTTATTCCTTTTCTCTACTGTGATAACTTTAACAAGAAAAAAACCAAAGTGAGAAGCAATGGGCATTTATTTGAGATAAAAAAACCAGCTATTCAGGAAGTGCTGATTCAGGCAGAAACCCAAGTAATGCTCTGATTATGAGGTAAAGGCAAGGGGTATTTATGACAAAGGGAAGGGAAATAATTATTAGGTCGTCGGGAAAGTCATGACGCATTTTTTGCATTGCAAAACATAGAAAAATACGTCATGACAATACGTCATGACTTTCCCGACGACCCAGTACATGAATAGAAGGAAGGAGTTTCTACTGGTGCCAATGAGCCAAGGAAGGAATTTCTACAGGTGCAAATGAGCTAAGATGTTCTTTAGCTACAGATGGTGGTGCTAATTCTAAAGAATGTCCTATATTTTCAGTCCTCATAGTCAGGATGTCTGCTTTCCTGTAAGCTTTACAAGCAGTTGTTTAGAATATACGTTGATTTGGCCCAGTCCAGAGGTTACTTGCCTCGTTCAAACATTCCAAAGGTTTGAGGTTTGAGGAATAAGATGTGCAAGGCAATTTCCTTTGGGATGGTAGCTCTGACTCCATTGTGAAATGGCTCTGTTGATATCTTTGTTCACACCTGTGTGTCTTCGATGAACTAATTCTATAACCTGGAGAAAAAGAATATTTATAGAAGCCTGGTTCCCCAGAAAGGAGAGCTTCCCATTAAAGCTTATGTGCAAGTCATTTATTGGGGGATGTCATTCCAGGAGACATGAGTGAAAACAGGGATGGAGAAAAAGCCCATCAAGGCTGCATTATCAAGTTGACTATCACTAAGGGTAACTGGTTGACCAATCCTCTGAGAAGCCTTACGAAACTCATTTCCAAACTGTCCAACCTGGGGGAGCATTTGAGATCTTGTTCCCTGGCATATGTCGTCGGTTTGGCTCAAATAAACTCTTATAAAAATTCTCAAAAACAACAAACAAATAAACAAACAAACAGTGTCCAATTTGGGGATGAAAGAGAAAAACATTTATCCACCAGGTCCTGTTCCCTATTAATCAAAGGTTGCTTTTTGGGGCATTAGCTTCCTGCACACATAAGTGCTGAACTGGTTTAGAGAGGCCAGGGCAGGAAACAAAAAGCTTGGTGAGATACTTGTGAGTGGAGGTGGTCACTACAGCAAGGCTTAAACAAAAGGGGAGTCTAAGACAATAAATAGGGTGTGAATAAATGCTGAGCAACCAGCTTTCAAAGATAGGCAAGGAGCTCTGATTTGCAACGTTTGCTAATATCCATGGTAAAAATACACCATGGCCAACTTCGAGCTACCAACACCATGTCACTGACGACACAGAGTTGGGAAGAGGTGTGCACAATGGGCCCTTATGAGGTGGGAGGAGCCGGCTCCAGTACATCTCTGAAAAAGGAGTGGAAGTAGTGCCCAAGACTCGCCCAATACCTTATTATTCAGCATTCTCACGGCTGCAAATCAAATTAGCTTAAGATTTTGGAGCATTTTAAGGAAAGAGGAACTGTATTGGCTTTTAAGATTAAAAGATTGAGAA